TGGAGTATTGGGTCCAGTTTTGGGGCCCTCACTACAGAAAGGATGGGGACAAATTGGAAAAAGTCCAGTGAAAGGCAACGAAAATGATTAGGGGGCTGGGACACATGACTTATGAGGAGAGGCTGAGGGAACTGGTCTTATTTAATCTGCATAAGAGAAAAGCGAGGGGGGGGGATTTGATAGCAGCCTTCAACTACCTGAAGGGGGGTTCCAAAAAGGATGGAGCTAGGTTGTTCTCAGTGGTGGCAGATGACAGAACAAGGAGCAATGGTCTCAAGTTGCAGCGGGGGAGGTCTAAATTGGATATTAGGAAAAACTATTTCACTAGGAGGGTGGTGAAGCACTGGGATGGGTTACCTAGGGAGATGGTGGAATCTCCTTCCTTTATGGTTTTTAAGGCCCGGCTTGACAAAGCCCTGGCTGGGATGTTTTAGTTGGGGTTGGTCCTGCTTTGAGCAGGGGGTTGTACTAGATGACCTCTTGATGTCTCTTCTAACCCTAATCTATGATTCTATGAAAAGTGGCTTTGAAAAAAATTGTCATAATGGAGTTCCACATTTACTGTCACAATTAATATTTAATTTGCTCAGTTTAGAAGTAGAATGAGGCTTATTTAATTACCATCATGGGAAACACAGATTGAGATCTGAAACTTACGTTATGCTCTTTTTGCATCATGTATCTTCACTTGCTATAAAGATTACGAGGCCAAATGCTGCTCTTTACTTACACCCATGAAACCCTGTTGTCCTCGGAGGGTATCCTCAGTGTCGTCTGTGCAACTCTGTTCTCTGTGGTTGCACAGGCTTAACTAGATGCGTAATCTGGGCAGATGGCCTGGCACTTAGAATTTAGTTAACAATTCTTCTGCTGATGTGAAAGTCAGAAAAAGCAACAGTTTCATAATGCCTGAACTGGGTTGATTCTACAGGGAGAACATTAGTAAAAGGTTTCCTCCCTCTCCCCTCTAAAGTTAGCAGATATAGTAAGTAAGTAAGCAAGCAGATACCTGAATACACACAGAGACCAGCTCTAATGAGTAAAGGGGGGTCATTTTTACAATCACTGAACAGACTGTTTGGAACTTTAGAGGGATTCTCAGGTACCAGATGCAACCACAACAGCTGCCAACTATGGTCTAGAAATATATCTTAGTGTTATGTAGCCACACAGGAAAGTAAGTGAGGTAAAGACTCTCCACCACCACACATCCCCGTGCAGTTGCATAGGACCTATCTGGATCTTGGGTACAGATATGGGTAGAGAGAAGGGGTTGCGCTCCCTGATATTTCACCCTGCAAGCAAGTTGGAGGAAAGAGAAAAGGTAGGCTGAAAGTAGATGGAGGTATGGGCTCCAGCCACATCACCCACAAGTTGAATACCAGAGTTGGTTGGATGCAAGAGAGGAGGAGTATGCTGCATCTTGTACAGTGCTAACGAAACCTGTTTCAACACCTATTCAGCCCCACTCTCAGAACAAAAGGGGAGCTACAGAGGAATCGTGTCTCAGAGGGGCATCTCTAAAGCACAAAGCCTTTCTGGTTCTATTTTTAGGGTGACACAGCCACACACCACCCCATATTCAAGGGTGGCCAAGCCTAAAAGTTAATCTAGCCATATGTATTTTATTTTCCTTTGCTATTTAGACATTTCTTTTTGGGAAGACGTGTCAAGATGTTTGATCAAACCTAGAGGAGTAACATGGTAGTGCCGGGACTCTCATGGCAACTGCTGATATTCTAACTCTGTGCTTGGCATCTACACTCAAGATAAGAAATCCATATCAGTGAGCATGAGTGAAGGCAACTGAAAGACCAACTAAGAGTATCAAATGTGATACACGTGTTATCTCAGGTTTAATGGACATTAAGACATACCCAAATTTTAAGTCACTGTTAGAAGGAAGTGAAGCCATCTGGTAAAATGTTTAGCCCCTAAGTGACTGACTTAGGAGCCAAAAAATCACGTTTACTTTTCTATAGACTTTCAATAAGACTTCTGAAAGTTTTACTCCTCACCTATCAAATTATGCCTGGGTTAAAAAAAAATGTAGCCTCCACAGGCAAAAACATTTGAGTAAGATGAGAGAAAAATAATGGATTTAAAAACCAAAGGCCCAGTGTTGTGCAAATGAATGAGAGGTAAAATACTGAAATCTTCTAGCAAAAATGTCAGATTCGACTGTGCCTAGCATTGAGCACCTAAATCAACAGTTAATCATCTAAATAAAAATGATGTGGGTGCTCAGTGCCTTTGAAAATTGGGTATCTAGGGTGAAATCATGGCCCTACTGAAATCAGTGGCAAAACACCCACTGAAATCAATGGAGCCAGGATTTCACTCCTAATTGTAGCAGTTAGTTAGTAATTTGTTAGTCTCTAAGGTGCCACAAGTACTCCTTTTCTTTTTACTCCTAATTGTAAGTATCCAGACTTGAAAATTTTGGCCAATCTTTGCTATCAGAGCACAGCCCACCTTTGAACTACTGCACTGATAGAAAATGTCTGCTAGCAGAACACAGGAGGATGTTCCACAGTCTTACACAGGATTTATACACGAAAGAGCTGCTTAACAGAGCCCCAAGAAAAAGACTTCAAAAAGACTGCATCTTTAATAATAAAAAATAAAAAAGGGCTAGCACACAAACAGCATAATCTAAAATGTCATTAGAAATGCCTCACATACAAAAAGGTCTAAGTAAAGGAAGATTTTATAAAGTGATCAAAAACACACTAAGGGGGAAAAATCTTTTAAGATTAAAAGAGGTTTTTCAAAGGACAAGTAGAAGTGGTTGTAAAATTTATGAGGCAGCATTAAACTTCAGTTCCAATTTGCAATAAATTATTCACCATAAAAATATACATGTGAAATAAAAGTTTCTTGTGCACTTTTCTGTTTGTTTAGCAGGTTTTATATTTATTAATTTGTGCTGGATCAACTGGAAGTGATAAAACTACACCAGCTGACATCTCAAATATTACCTCACCCTCATATGTATGGTTAGAGGAAGAGCTACAGATTTAGGGACAACTGCAGAAGAATTTGCAGTTTGCAGAAGAATACAGGCCAGGACAGCATGCTTCCTTACATGCATGAATTAAATATTTAATATTAAATAAATAAGGGAGACTTAAGTAAATATATCTTTCTAACAAAGAACATATCAATAAAACAAATCCAAATGGCATTTCTAGTCAAAACATCACATTTGCCAAGGTAACCAATTTGCTAAAAGAGGAACGTAAGTTTTATATTTAGTTCATTAAGGAAAGTCAGGTTAGGCACCCAGAGATCTGACAGCTGATCAATACTCTCAGCAACTGCAAGTGTCAATCTGGAGACCTCACTGTAATTCAGAGAGCTGTTCCCAAAGCTCCGAAAGTGATTATATTAAAAAGTTTCCTGCAGAAGTCAACTCATCAACTGTTTTTCCATATTACTAGACTATCCCTCACATCAATAGATGATTTGTTCCTTTTTCACTTCCATTATTTAGTTAAAACTATTTTCCAGTGTCATGGACAAAAGAGATTTCACACAATAATAAAGAGGTCTATTACTAAATTATATGTCAAAAAGCTTGGAGCACAAAACAAACTGAAGACAGAAGTAAGATCAACACAATATACACATCTTGTTTAATTTAACATAATGTCATAAGATGATTCCTGTTCTAAACCATGTATTTTGATCAGTAATGTCCTAAATAATTGCCCAGAACCAGTGTATTCCCCAAGATCCCGAATCTTGGGAGACCTGCAAGAGAAACTGCACTGATTTCAAGGCCTCTCCTTGACTCTGCCTGTGTGACTCCACTGGATCTGCCTACTTCCACCCTAAGTCCTAATCAAGGCATCCAAAGTTAACTCCCTCTGAGGCCTTGGATTTTTCGGTTCAGTGTACCTATCTGTCAAATTATGTAAAATATTCACTTACACTCATCACAAGAGTGTTGTGAGGATTTTCTGATCTCTAAAGGGTTTGAAGAATGCACTTATCAGAAGTGGAGTATGCACCCTCCACCTATAGTTAAGGTTGACCAACACTTTCTATTAAAAGACCCTGCTTTCAGTTGCTTATAAAAAACTTTGCCAAACTTTAACCATTCAGGCTGAAATTTTCCTTGCTGGCTATCTGCTTTAGGTTGAAGGTTTTGTTTTTGTTTTTTTAACTTCAGCAAAAACCGTTCAACTGTTTCTCAGAGCAAGACTAGGAAAAACAAATTGTTCTGCCCATGGGAATAAAAATTCTTACAATCATTTTGCTGAGAAGTTCTAACACCTCCATGCTTTGGATCAGGGACTTAAAATTGGCAGAGAGGACACACTGGTGTGAGGGATGTACCTTTTGCCATTTCTGTGATCTCCATCAAACTGCCCAAACATAGCCAAATTATAAGCTTCCCAAAAGTTTCAGTTTGCACATGCTCAGTAGAGACTTGTTAGAGTTTGGCTGCTAAATTTCCTAAGAGTCTGCACTGAGCATGCTCCGAGTCCAGGGCTCCTCCGGAGGGTAGGCTTTTCCCTGCAATTGCTCTTCTTGGCTGTGGAAGGCCACTGTGGAGCCAGGCACAGGAACCGAAAACAAGGAGACTCTCTCTTGTGCTTCTCAATGCTCAGGGTACAAGGAGTAAGAGGAAACAGAATGATTTGAATACCTGGCAAAGGGAGGTAAGGGAAGAAGAAGGAGGATTGTAAAAGCCAGAGAGTGGGAGAGAGGAAAGGGCAGGAAGACTGAATTGGAGCAGTGGGGGAGAGGGGAATAGTTTGTGATCATGTAATTAAAGATTATCATGGTGCTTACTCACAAAGGGCCAAATTCACATTGTATAGGCAACCTTAATTCTGACATTTCCAAACTTTTGAGTGATTGACTTTGCAACCTTAACGTTCTTTTAACATATTGTTATTATACACAAAAAACTAGCACTTTACAGTAAGATTATGTTCAATTCAACATGTTAATAAGCATTATTTAAAGTTCAGATTTTTAATTCTTACCTATGGGCAAGTGGTGATGCTACCAAAGCTGACTCCTCTCTAGAAGAGAATTTCCACGATTCCTCCAGTTTCGATTCACTTGTTCCTAGTTCTCCCATGACCCAGTCAGGTAAAGCTTCTGGGCTCCCACTCTGTGCTCTCGTTGAATTTGGTTCATCAAAATAGATTGACTATATTTAAAAAAAATTAAAGATACAGTAAATCGGAAAAGATTAACATTGTAAGATCTAGACTTTTAAAAAAAACAGGAATATATGCACCCTTCTTTATCATTATCATCACTTGCTTGTGGTTTGGTAGCAGCATAAAGAATGCAATTCCATTTCCACTACAGTCAAAGGGAGTTTGCCAGTAAGTTCAATGAGTGCATGAATGGATGCTTAAAATAGGGGGCCAAGAATATTGAGTCCCGGATATAAGGGAAAATAGTTATAAGTTTACATAGCACTTATTACCACAGAACATCTTTGCACAGCCTGTATTACTGATAGCTAACAAAACTGTTCTATGAACAGTGTCATAAATTGCTAACTAACTCTGAAGAGCAGAACCAGGCTTAGTTACATACCATGTTAGTGACCAACCTTCCTGCACTAATCCAGCACCTTATGATCCAGACCCGATTGCCTCTTCCAGTAGTAAGATTCACAGCCCAATCCTCCAACCCCAGCATTCCCATTACCTTGGGGCCCTGCTCAACATGAAGCCATCCTCAACACACACAGAGAACATTGTTCTAAAACATTAATTATTTTTAGGTTTTGACATTCAAGTTGGGGAGGGAAGAGGAAAGAACAAACAAGGAAAAAAAAAATCTTTGGATGGCCTAAGAGATCAGAGATGGTTAGTTTAGTATAGAAAATCATCAATATTTTCTCAATCCAATAATCAATTTGTTATTGTTTAACCCAAACATATATCAAATCAAAGAACACTTCAAAACCAAAAATTGGGTAGCAATACCGCTGCAGTAATGCCTTTCATCCAATAAGCTAAACGCATTTTACAATACTAATAAATTAAAGTACTGATTTTCCAAAGTGCTGAAGTCAATGGGAGCGGCAGAATGTTCAGAATTTCTAAAAGTCAGGCCCTACCCTTCACAATGCCCATGTGAACCATTATCCTCACACACACTTTTTTTTTTTTTTTAAACATAGATGTAGAGTATTTAATTGATTTACCCATCTAAGTCTGCAACAAAGCCAGGAATACACCAGGACATCAGATTTCTAAGCCCTATGCTTCAAGCACAAAACTCTCTTTCCTTTCACAATACCAATTTGAAGTTCAAGACTAGCTTTGAAAATACTGACTGTGTCCCTTTAAACACATTTTATGTTATCTGTAAATATCAGTTAGCAACTAATCAGATACAATCAAAAGGGCATCTTTCAACACTTTCTGAACTTCTGTTTTATTTGAAGAAGAAACAAAACAGGTCACATAAAAAAAATTCACAAAGACCTAGAAATCTGTTTGCCAACTGCAGTTATAAATTATTAAGGGACCTATGGTACAAGTGGTAGGCCAACACTCACTCCTTGCAATTCCACTGAAATCACTGCAGAATTTGATTCCGTCTGTAAACAAAAGTGAATACTTAAATATATAATTTTTAAACTACATTTATGAACTAGCCAAGTTTGTTCTCCATAAAAATGAAATAAATACCCACCATATATGAAGGCAAGGTTTTCAGTATTCCGGGTTCAGGTTTATGTGTAAAAGGGCCTTCTAGAACTCCTCGTTTCAGCATATGCAGCAACAATTTTGCATACAAGTTCCGATTCTTTCTACCCATAATTCCTGCACCTGCTCCTGAGGGCTCACAGAGTTTTTTAATCCAGAGTGCACATCTCTGACGTTCTAGAAAAATACATTCCATTACAATAGACTTTATCAGAAAACAGAACAAACTTAAGAACAGCAGAAGTTAAAGAACCACAGCATAACTTTGTATATGTCTCTCTCTTCAACCAAGAATTTAAGTTTTGCACAAAGGAAGTTTTAAGGTAGAACATGAAATTTTACAAGGATGTGTATATTTTTCATAGAAAGGAACTTCAGGTCAAATAAAGCACAAACGGAAAAACATAATTTATCCACTAGAAAAATCACAGAAAAACAAAATTGAATTCCGTACTAACTTTAAGAGGAGTGCCATAGAAATACTTCCATGCTATACAGCTCAAAACATACATTTTAAATTCAGTTTGGAAACTTATAGACAGCCTGTGCAGTCAGATCATGAACAACTAGTGTTATGTACTCCCAGAGAACTACATCACTTAATAGTTTATGTTGCTTTCTGAACCAGCTTCAGTTTCTGAGTTGACTTAGGGTACAGTCCCATGTACACTGCAGTAATCTAATCTTTCTATGATCAAAGTAGTAAGGTTCACATCCAAAAGAGAGTCTCAATCTCCTAGTCTGTCATATAGGAGTTAAAACCCTCCTCAACACTGTGGTTTGTGATATTCTAATATCAGCTTGCTACCCAACAACATCCCAAACGTGCACACTCTAGCTACAAATAGCAGGCACATATCCTCAAACAAATATAATCTTCACCATGATTTCTATTTGCTTACCCCCAACATTACCAGCAGCATCTCAACCCCATTGAGTTTCAACTAGCTAGTTGTCATCCATGCCCCCAATTCATCCAAGTGAGACTCTGAGCCAAGTGTTTGGCAGCACTAGCTGGGTTATGCACAATAGAAAAGTTGAGTATCAGCTGTGTACTAAAAATACTGCAAGCCATACCCTCCCAATGTCCCCATGTACATGCTGAACACGAAGGGAGAAAAGATTGAACTCTGTGAAACTCTATATAATAGCATGCTTTAGGTATGAAGAACAATTTTCCAACACCACTCTCTCAAGGTGGCCAGCAAGGAAAAAATGGATTCACCCAAAAGCAGCCTTGCATTCTCCCGTGCAATCCATAGGCAAACCAAAAACAGCTCACAACTGAGGACAACTGAATCATCCAGCAGTATCAACATACACACACACTTGGTATTCATCCATCACTAAGAGGTTATCTTCTACCAACTCAATTCATTACCTGTTCCCAGAAATGTACAAAAATGACAAGTGTCAAGGAAATCTGATGCTTCTGGATTATCACAGCTCTTCCCATATGCTACCAAATATGGAAGATTAAATACTAAATGATAACCAGACTGCCAGGATCAAACGTTGCCTTCTTGAGCAAAGACGACAGACTAACCTCCTTAAGAGAAGATGGCACCCTGCCCTCCCTCTACCAACAATGAGCTTCGTTCTTCCCTGATGACATCTGCCAGTCAGGAACAAGGAGCCAAAGAAAAAAGTTCTCCCAACACCTTCAGTCTCTCTCAGTAAGCCAAATGTAAGGTCACATCTGAGAACAAAGAACGTAAGCTATTCTTACAGGATAGGGGATGCTATCCAGGAAGCAGTGACGGACAAAGACTTGGGTCATGGTCGATAATCAGTTAAACAGGAGTTCCCAGCATAACATTGTGGCCAAAAGGGGTATATAATCTTTCAATGTATAAGCAAGGGAATATTGAGAAGAAGTGGTGAGGTTATATGACCTCTGTATTTGGCACTATTGCACCTGCTACTGGAATACTGCATCCAGTTCTGGTGTCCACAATTCAAGAAGGGTGTTAATAAATTGGAGAGGGTTCAGAGAAGAGCCTTATAGTGAGAGACTCAACAAACTCAGCCTATTTAGCTTATCAAAAAGAAATTTAATGGGTGACTTAGTCACTGTCTAGAAGTATCTACATGAGGAAAATATTTGATAATAGAGGGCTCTTCAATCTAGCAGACAAAGGTATGGCCAATGGCTGGAAGTTGAAGCTAGACACATTCAGACTAGAAAGAAAGCATAAAATTTTAACAGTGAAGATACTTTATCATTGGAGCAACTTCCCAAGTGCTGTGGTGGATTCTCTAACACTGAGAAGTTTTAAATCAAGACTGGATAGTTTTCTAAAAGATTCTAGTTCAACATGGCTATTGGACTTGAATCGGGAGTTAACACAGGGAAGTCATATGGCCTGTGTTATGCAGGTCAGACTAGACGATCACAATTGTCCCTTCTGGCTGTAAACATCTATGAAACATCATTGGCCTAAACTCATCCATATAAAATTTATCATTCATTCCTTCCAAATCCAGCCCCCATCCCAAAATCCTCTCATTTTTCTGTCACCAGAAGTTTCTTTGCAGAGGTACGCGAGTCAGCCAAGACATGAAGCCAGTTTGTTTAATTAAGATGTATATCACCCAAAACAAAAAGTGTAAAATAATTCACAAAATTATTTATGACTGTTAAGTAGCTTCAACCAAGACCTCCCCCCGCCCCCCCAACTGCCCTAGCAGTTTTCCCCTCCTGCTTAATCTATCAACCAAAGCAGCCTGTGAGGGCAAAGCTGGAGAAGAAGGCTCCTAGCACCCTTTATTGATTGCTGAAGATAAGAGATTATTAATACATACTATCAAACCCTAGTAGGAACAATATTTTCCCTCAGGACTTTCCAGAAGAGTTCTGCTTCCATTAGCCTTTTCAGGACAAACCATCAAAACAGCCCTTCACCTAAAAGGAAAGGTGTGTGCCAGCCTCAGAACATGAGATAATGGTGGATCCATGAAAACGGTTTAATTTTCAAATGGACAAAAAGAAACACATTCCAGAACTAATTTCTGTAGATTCATATTTATGCTTAGTTTACAGGGTTCTATTATTATATAAACAATTTTAAGTATTAGTTAGTCTCAATTCCAGAGAAGAATATTGCCTCTAATGTCTGCTTCAGAGGTAAAATAATAATTGTTGTATTGAAAGTAATCTGATTACAGCATCATTATTTTGAAATGCTATGAAAACCTACTTCTGATCATGTCAGATCCTGCAAGGTACTGAGCATCCTCAACTTCTATTAAACTCAATGCGAGCTGAGGACTGTCAGTACCTTCAGAATCATGCCCTCAGTTGCAAAATACAGTTTGCATGAGCATTAATATTTTATCATCCAATTTAAAAGCCTGAGACAGTAGCCTTACTCAAACAAATCCTTCCATGGAAGACAAGACAACCTGTGGAATTCAGAACCATTAGTGTAAACAAAGGTTTGCAGAATCAGGCCCTTAATTTGAAGATTATAAATCAACTACATATTATTAACAGGAAGTAATCACTTAGCTCATAAAACATCACTCATTACCTGACACTTGTACTATTAGTTTAAAAAGTTCCAGCGCTGGATTTATTTATTTTATGAACATAATTGGATCTTGACAGATTGGTCTCTAAAAAAATGCTTGCAATTTTATAAATGGCATAATCTCCAAGTCAAAGCCTATTTTAATTTTAATTTCCACTGAATTCATTAATTGGAAAATACAGGAATTAATATATTTATGCAAAAGTACATTTACATCATCAAAATAAGAAGGATGAGCTTGAATAAATAGTATTAACAAAAGGTGCTTAAAAGATAACCTAAAAATCAACTTTAAAAGTTGCGCACATATGATGATGCACTCTGCAACATTAGGTTTGTGGTACTTAATTTGTTATTTAGCAGACTGCATTACACGTGCATACAGATGTCATTATTTTACACTCGAGAGTCATAATATACCAAGATTCTGTAGTAAAACTAGAGTATTTCTGATTGTTATGTTTATTTACATGCAAATTTGTAGCACAGTTTACCTGATTTATGTGGTAATTTTAGCACAAACGGCTTCATATCTACAACATAGTGATCAAATTCCGCATCCAACTTCTCCCATGTTTCCTCTTCACTACTCATTGTGCACTTAACAGCCAACCTGCAAGATTTAAATTGAAACAGAGAAATTATATAAAACCTCACTGTTCTATAGATTAATATTAATGTACTTAATGTCTAAATGTAAATACTCACTTTTTGAGCTACTTAAAAAAAACAAAACAATATGGCTATTTCATTGGCACTAAATTCATTCACACACATACAAAATAGCAGATCTCTGCAAAGAGCTAACACTCAGGATAAGTTTTTCAAACAATATGTTTGTTTGATTTTGGAATGCTTATTGGAGGGAGAACAATAACCACACATAAAAAAAGCATTTGGCAAGATACAGGTCATAAATAAACCCATCTTATTACTCCCTAAAAGCTATTAAACAAGATAATATTCATCCAAAAAATAGCTTTTCTTGCTTGGAAGTCAGTGACAAGATACCACTTACAAATGAAAACAGCGTGGAAAGCAGGAAGAACAACGTTACAAATAATATTTTGATAAAAAGTTATTTGGGAACAGAAGATATAGCTAAAATACAACACTCAGTTGTACATTTTTAAAAACACTGATTTACTTGGGGGTTAGGAGAGAGCCATACAAATGTCTTTCCTCCAAATTATCTATCCCATGATTTATAAATTCACTGGTTTCCCATTCAGGAGATTGCATTTTACACCATCTCTATATATTTTAGGCTGCCGTTACCATGATCATTGCTAAATGTAGGTGTTTGTAGAATTGAGGCCTATGTACATACTTAACTTTAGACACACCAACAAGTCCCACTAGCCTTTGGGTCCATTGACAGTGAATAAACTTAAGTACATGCACAGATATCTTTGGAGAATCAGGGTTTTATAATCCAATTCACTATTTACATCTTCAGCTGAGAGGGAAAGTCTCCTCCCTTATATACTATGTATCTCCCGGCGCTAACATTCAATAACATTCCATATCAAGAGGAAAATGGATTTTTCCTCCCTCTTTCTTTTCCTTCAACTATTTTTATGAAACATATACCATCATGTAACATTCTAATCTGGTATTCCATTTGTGCTGAACTGAAATTTGTAAATGCATATACTAAGGTTGTTATTGCATTTAAACTGAACTGAAATTTGGAAATGCAGTGAGCCAAGGATTCCTGTTATAGTTAATTTCTACCTCAATTTTAAAATAATAAAAATTTTCTACATTACACTGTGAGATTATGCTAATTGCAGTGTTTTACAGGTAGTCCATGGCTTGCTGTTCCCACTCGAAATTACACAAATAAATCACTATATATAATCAATTCAGCTTCTTATACCACACTCATCAGTGATATGCGAGACCCTTTGCCTTACTCAACATTCAATAATTTTCCATCCAAGAGTGGGTTGCCTCCATTTCCTCATCTATATGTTCTATCATTTAAGTCTCGTTATACTACATACATTACAACTCTGAACTATTTGCCTCATACTAAACAGCTTCCCAACCTTTGTTAGCAGTTGGACAGATAAATCACTATACTTATCTTACTCAGCCCGTCAACTTTACAGCCACAGGAACAGGTTTCCTTTGCTACCTCTTCCACACATCCCCAGTTTGCATGATCACTTTAAGCAACGTGACACCTTCTGGCAACCTGTGCCCACCTTCCCGCCCGCTGCTAAGAACTTTGCGACCTAGCCGCCATGCCCAACCCTGGAAGGTGGCAGCAAGGAAAGGAGCGATGCTATTTCCCCCCTCTCCTCTCAGATTTATTTTTTCTACAGTTTGCAGCGGGTGCCATGACGACGTGTGATTTCCCCCACGATTTCGAGAGCTTTCACCCCCTTCGTACCCCGCTGCTGGGATTTCGCCCGTGGGGGAAGGCAATTTCCCTCCATCGCTCCCCTCCATCCGCCTGCTGGGCCACGACCACGCGGCGCCATTTACCTCACGGTCCACGACGTCGAGGCTTGGGCCCAGCCCCCGCCGCGCTCTGGGGGGGTCTCGCCAGGGGGCTCCCAACGCTTGCACAGCACCCAACGGGGGAGCTGCTGCAGCAGGAGGGGAGATCAAGGCCTGTTCTAGGGGGTCCCTATGCTGGTCTGGGGGGAGTCTCAGGCTGGCGGGCCCCCTGCTCAGTACCCCCCAGTCCAAGGGGATGGAGCGACCCTCTCCCAGGCACTGCTGGGCCTGGCACCCCCTGCCGCGGAGAGGACGCGACCGCTGCCAGCCTAGGACCCAGGCTAAGCAGCCAACGGTTCAAACCAGCCCCACCCCGCCGCTCCCGGCTGCCCTGAGTGGCAGGGCCCCGGGCCCGGCTTCCGTTTCCGTAGGCCGGGCTAGGCCGCGGGGGTTGCCATAGCTGCGACGCTGCCGGGGCGAGCAAGGCCCCGGCTGGGCCCCGAGCGCGCTGGGCTCTGCCGCAGGGGGAGGGGAGGCTTTGCGGGAGGAAGCGGCCCGGGGGGGAGAGAAGAGGAGAGGAGAGGAGAGGAGAGGAGAGGAGAGAGGGGGACGTTGGGGGGGGGGGGGTAGTTTGGCGCGGCTGTGTTGGGGAGCGGTGGTTTACGGAAATGCCGGGGCCGGGCTGGGGGCGCTGTCTGGGAGGAAGGCTGTAATGGCGGGGGCGGTTTGCGGGGCTGGCTCGGGGTGGGGCAGTGCTTCATCGGTGCCAGGGCTGAGCCCCGCCGCCTCGCGGCTCGGCAGCTCCGAGCCCTGGTACCTCTGGGCTTGTGCCTCCGTTCGGAACGTAAAAAAATGCCTTGAGCTCTGGCACCCCTTTCCTTGCAAATTAAGCATTGGGTGGGGCGCTGTGGTGGGGGAGGGATGAAGTGGGGGGGGGGCTGTGTCAGGGAGGGGGACTGTGGTGTAGAAGGGGTGGTTTGTGGGGCTCTGCCCGGGTGTGGCGCTGGGTCAGGGCAGGGGGGCTGTTGGCGGAGGGATGGTTGTGGGGGGACAAAGCTGTTTAGGGAGTTATCTTGAAAAGTGTGTTTTGTGGGGGCCAAAAGAAGGGGTTTGGGGGGCGTGGAGTGGCATTGCTCGGCAGGGAGCCCTATGAAAGGGTTTAATTGAAGGGTGTGTGGGGAGAATTATTTCATTTTGATTTATGTTGGGATTTGTGCACAAAACACATCTTTTAGGCTTTATGTGTCTGAATAAATCTCTTTAAGGTGACTTAAGTAATACATTGTTTAAACACAATTAAAATGGCATACCAAACACATGTACCATTTTGAGGGGGCCTTGTTTGTAGTGAAGCTGTTTTGTGCTTGTGAATGCCTTGAGGGAGGTTTCAGTTGGGTTTTGTTGTTTTTTCGCTGTTTTCATTCTGCCACATATACGTACTATGGTTTCATCTTAGGTCTTGATGAATACAGGTCTCTCCAAGTAGCTCCAATTGGGTGTAAAACCCCACTCCTGTAAATATACAGAAGACTAATCCAATTTAAGTCAGTGAAACCACTCACTTGATTTTAGTTTTGTACATGTGTAATCATTTGTAAGAATCCACATATTGTATTTGAGGATTTTTGAGCAGTGGGAGGAATTAGTTTAAAGGTTGAAAAGTTATTTACATGTCTACTTTATTTTTTGAGTATTGTTGTGGGGGCTTGATTAGAATCTTCCATAGGTAGGTGAATCCTGTCTCACCATCCTTAAGAAATGTTGCAAAACCTTCTTTGATGAAGCCTTTCTATCAAAAGTGACACTCATAATACTAATTATTTCTTCTATTCCCAATTCCCTAGCAACCTATTCTCCCCCTGAAACAACAAACAAATAATACATTTTTTTTAAAAAAAACCTCGCAGAGCAGAATTTTGACGGCAGAAAGGAAGAAATGCCAGAGACTCCAGCCTCCAGGAAGTCCAGTAAGATCTTCAGTACTGTGACTGATTTTATTGACAGGTACTCATACTATGGTGATGGGCAGAAGAATGAAACCTTAAGGCTTGGTCTGCACTACAGACTTACGTTGGTATAACTACATCGCTCAGGTTTATGGATAATCCACCCCCCTGAGAGGTTGGTATAACTGCATCAAACCCCCAGCGTAGACAGTGCTATGTCAACAGGAGGTTTTCTCCCATCAACATAGCTACCGCCTCTTGGGGAGGTGGAGTACTTAAACTGATGTGAGAGGCTATCCCGTCTGCATAGGTAGCGTCTTCACTAAGCGCTTCACCACTATATGTGTAGACAAGCCCGATAGATAGATAAAAGGTCTGAGAGAGAAGTTGTAGAGTCTCTTGGTTGGGTGGATGATAGCTGGGGTTTTGTTTTTTGTTTGCTTTATTGAGCAATATCCTGATAACTGTCAATAATGGGGGGAAATAGTTTTTCTGTGTCATTTTGAAATTGAAGGTCAACAAAAAATAGATCGGGCTTTCGGCAATAACAAACAATATTTCTGGCAATTCTCCATTAAATGTCAACATTGCTGAACATTGTTTAATTGCAAGTAGTGACTAGAACAAACAAGCTTCTTATATGCTGTTGAATACTGTTGCTTTTGGTCAACACTTCCAGTTAAACTGCATTCATATATTTGAGTTAGCTGTAGAATTCCCTTTCTGAAGACTTTAGGTCCTCGAATAGGCAGTGTTTGTGTTCTCCAATGGATAGTCTCTAAGGCTACACCTCCAGTTTGGTGAACTGGTATCACCAAAAGTAGTAAGTGGTGTATGGAACTACTGTAATTGGGAAAAAAAATCTTATTTTTTGCCAGTAAGATTGGCAAATCTTATTATTTTATTTCTGTTTTTCTTCCTAAAATTCCCCCCCTCTGACCTTGCCGTACACAAAGCAGCTAAAATATTTTTTGTCTAGAGTGAGTAAACACTTTCAGATCATGACTAATCCTGATCCATATGCACCAATACAGCAAAGAAGAATTTCTTAAAATACTGTAGCAAATTTTTCTCGTTGATTTCTCAGTTAATCTTCAGAGGAAATAATTCTGGATTAAGGTTCATTCAAAGATAGCTATGGCAACTACACTAGTTACCTTGATAGATTGACTGTAACTCCTTAGAAAATTGCATTCACATATTTGCATAGTGGCAGTGCAAAAAACACTGATGGAGTCCATCTACCCAGGCTTCATCTCTTGGTGCAATCTCATGAGCAGACTACAAAAGACTTATACTCTTTAATAAAATGATTTTTTTAATTCTGACTTTAAAATAATTATAATGACAATTATTAATCTTTTTATATTTTAAAATAATGGACTTGTACTTTACAGAAATAGTGTTGGTGAACTGGTTGGCCAAAGTGATCAAATCAAATGTAGAGACTTTCATCTCTGAATCACCTGTTGAAAGCCCAGATTTGTAATGGCAAGATATGAAATTGATTGGTCCAAGTCAATTCAATGCTTAGGTGACAAATAGCAATAAGAATCCTTGTTGGCAGTCTAAGGAGAAAAGCCAAAGGCTCAGTCGACCGAATGATGACAAACGTGTAACCCGAGAGCTGGTTCTTCCAGGACAGGGTTGAAGCGCGCTGACATGGGAGCATGGGGAAGCTTGCACTGCCATTGATAATACTGTACCAGTTTTGTTGACAAATTGAGAACTTCAAGCTCCAGATCTGTCAAGCAAGCTAACCTGTTTTGCGAACAAGCTACCTGCATTTGGCTTTTACATATGGGCCACATTCTACTTGTATTTTGCCCACTACTGAGCTTCTTGAAATACAGAATGTACTAGTAGTCTGAGGGGCAAATGTAAACATGTGGATGTGTATCGTTTAGAGGGTCACTTAAAAGATTCATGGAGGAAGCAGGACCAGTAATGAATCTACCAGTCCTGTCCAGGAGTAATGTCCTGAGAGAACAGATCCACTTTGTTAGTATGTTCAGCGTTTGTTTAACAAGGTTGAGTGATGGAGGGCACCAAAAAGGGAAAGAGTCTTCTCTAGTAGAGAGTGTATGCAGTGAATTCACAATTACATAACTTCTATCCAAGAGAGAGAAATGTTCATACAACTACCACAGCTGTCTCCTGCAGAAGTTACTGCTCTGAACAAGTTAGTTGATATGTGTTGATGTTTGCTGGCCCTCCAGAGGAAATAATTCTAGAAGTACAGTTGTAGAATACATAAAAATCCCCAGAGTGAATACAGAACAAAATCACAATTTGAATTGTAAAATGCGTTCATTTACATAAAATGCAATTCAGTGTATTTTCATCTAATTTTACCATGCTATCTTGTCTTTGTAACAGTGTCAGCAGGTTACCGCAAATAACATAAGCACAGCTTAAGGCGTTCTTTCAGTTATCTGTAAAGAAAATGGCAGGCTTCACTCACTCATTCCAGGCTTCTTGGAAACATCTTCTAGTTGCACTCCATTTTTTTAAAGTCTTCTGTGCAAACCTTTCATGTCTGAAATGTTGTGACTCACAAAACATTTCACCACTTCAAAGACTTATCAGGTCACATTATTTTTTTCTTTGAGGAGAATGGTTAATAAGTACAAAAACATGAATATAACTCTTAAGGACAATGCTTATGCATACTCTGCTACAGAGGTTTTCAGCCTGTGGTCCATGGACCCCTGGGTGTTTGCAGACTATGTGTCTGCACATCCATTCAAAATTTTTAGGGCCTGCAAACGAAAAAAGGTTTAAAACCATTGCTCTAATATATCCATCTTGAGAGCAGAAAGGGAGGCAGGTGATGTGATCAGGATTCCCACACTGAAGGGGTAAGTAGAATTCAGGAAACTGAAACATTTATTAACAGTGCCTAGAAAAAACATTATGACCCAGGAGGAAAAGGAGTGCTGCTGATGTGTAAAGTACAAAGAAACTGGGAGGAAACAAAGTAGTGTTTCATGGCAGCCCAGCAAACTAGTCTCTAACCATATTCCAACTTTGCAACCTTTTAGCTGCTGAACAGTTTATATTAAACTGTCAGCATCTGTGCTAAAGCTCTATCCCAAGTTTTGTCTACAAAACATCCAGACCAGATTTTCAAATAAGGTGGGTGTTTGCCAAATAACATAGATGCCAAATTAAAATGATTTTGAATATTTTGTCCTGTGACTCTAGAAGCAGTATAAGATGGTATAACATTACATACACACACATACATACAAACTCTGTTATATTTATGGAAGGTTGAATAATATTATTTCATGATAACTGCCCTATTACGTATAAAGGAAGACAGGAACTGTGTAATCACAGATCACAATAAGAAATGTATCTGATGTATAATATTGAATGGTAAAAGCTTATAAAAAGAATTCATGTCCTTCTGATGTATAAAGGTTTTTTTTAAAACTAGAGTTCTGTAGGTTGGCTGTAATGTATCTTTTAATATTAAAATGAATCTAGTATGATGTTAGTTGGGTTTATAAGACTTTACTGGTCTATAAAGTTCTAGAGTAATTTAATTGCTGAGTGTTTCTTTTTCACAGACACAGACCAGA